TTAACCTGTTTTTTGCCCCACTTTTTGACTTCCGGGAAATGGAGAGTTTGCCATTTGATGCAGATGCTCGTTTAACGTCTTTCAAAAAAATTCTTAAGTATCGTCCATTTTCTTCCATACTTTTTCGTTGAAAGATTTTAATTTCCTAAACCAAACGTGGCACATTTCAAATCGATGAATTGAAGTTTAGCTATGCTGTATAACTTCTCTATGAACTCACTGGTTGTCTAGGATTTCTGCTTCACTTCCATCTTCAAAATATTTTATTAAGCACTTGGCTTCGTTCTTCAGATTCGACTGAATCATTTGCATTAATAAGACCCCCGTCAACAAATATTTTCTGTTCCATATCCTTTCTCACTGGTTAGTGAAATGCTGCCATGTCTGTCAGATAGTGCGTTGTATTGTCCTTAAAGGCGCTTTGTGCAGAGTGTTCTAGTGCTTTCCGGAAAAGACCTGTCGATGGCTTTTATAAGAGCTTTGATCTTTGGAAGTGTTATGTCTAACCCGTTCACCGAACATTCGAAATCTGTGTGGGAAAAGAACTGCTTAAATACTGGATACAGAATATTCATCAGTAAAGAGGTATTGCGCTTTATCGTACCTGAATACCATTTTACATTTATATTGAGCATCGAGATGACATTTACCATGCCTCCATTTTTAAGTCGGAAAATTTGTTTTTTAATCACGTGAGATTTCAGGTCGGTTTTAGCCAGTAATGAATAAATGAATTCAACGACTCTCGATGCTAGAATTGGTTCTTGAAAAAAAAATCTATGACCTAACGTGCAAACCCCTTGGAAATTTCATTGTCTCAAATGTAGTCCTATTTTTAGAAGTAAATACATTGCAGACATAGACTATATGTGATATACATGTCATTTTGTACACAAGCATAGCCACAGTAATATATATCACAGTAATTTCTGTAACTCTGACCCAGTTACATAGGCTAATGGGCAGGCGTTTGCAAAGTACATTTTTTCAAATGTAGTATTTTACCTGGTACAGTAATGCGAAAACCTGTTATTTCAGTATATAATTTGTAATGGTGACGATAAGTCTTACCGCCAGTGCTTAGACATAGAAAACATTTATATCTCACTTGTAAATTCAGGAAAGAACACAGCATTATTGTCATATAACCCCTGGAAGTTACCTTTCCGCACTCGCCGAAATGGAAAAAACATTGTTTTTAACTATTTCATTGTTGGTCACAATCGAACTATTTGACTTCAATATTGGTTTATGGCCACGAAAGTTGGATTCAAACTACTACACTTAGCCTGTTTCATTTGTCCATGAATTTGGTCAGATCAATATTGATCAGGCGTATGAATACATCGTATACATATTATGTTAGGGGAAAGGGCCCTTACCCTTTTACGTTCAATTTTAAATAAAAGTATTCAAATCTACTCGAGAATTTTAGAATAAGAATTGATAAAGATATAAGATATATAAAATATAATTAATGAATAAATCAAGCTATGACATTAATTTTTAGCAGGACATATTTGTTTTGATATCTACTTGAGACCTTGCAACTGCTTCCTGACAAAGTCGTTGATGCCATGGGTTTGTAAACTACTGAGAATGGCCACAAAACATTATCCATGCCAATTATAAAATGGCTACTCTCCAGATCGAAGCGAAGCGGGAGACGACCGTAGAACTCCGTATAGATGTTATTCTTCCGCGTCGTTGTGGGATAAGAACAATTCTTAAAATTTAATTATGTTGTTCTGTATTTTTTGTTATGTTTCGCATAATCGTATTTTGTCTAAGTAGCACTATTTGATCATTATCTAATTTAGAATAGCGGACTGTATTTGTTTACGCAATCCATTAGACTTGCACAAGTTCTGGTATCTGCAGGCTTGAATTTGTTCAAAATATTTCATTAAAACGTCCAGGTTGAAATATTTGCATTGAATCTTGCTTTTGTCGTCATGGGATGATGAATTGAATTACTCTTGAGATAAATTCAACACGAACTGCTCCTCAGTTCATTAATGTCAGAAGAGAAACTAAATTCACCACCCCCGTGAAATCGACAAAAGCAAGATTCAATGCCTTATATAGCCTTACATTTGATTTTTTCATATTGTTTCAGTCAATGATGCTTCATTGTGACATAAGTAAATCATTACCAGTAGCTTTTAAGTGTGATATATGTTTCTATATTTTCATATTTCTATTTGTAGTAAGGATGACTTGGACATGGGGCGATGACCTTCGAACACGAAAATCCATCGAGAACTTATCTTTCCTGTAAAGAAGTAATGGAGAAATTCTGAGTATTATCAACCAAAGACAACTGGAGATATTCTGGATAAATCTGTTCCCCATTTACAAAAGTGTGTAGTAGATCGAAAATCACTATAACGCATACACTTCGTACAAGGAAACCTTGGTTAGAGTTAAAGTGCAATTGGCCAAAGAGAACATTGTAAACAACTGATAGATATACGGACAATGTTATAGGGCACCTGTTCTACAGTTCGGGCCAGTAATTCAGTGTAGCAGGAATATACTCCTGTAAGTTACAACAGGTACAAAACTGACCTGTACTACATTTAAGATGTTTAATATGTTATAAAAAGGATGGAGCAGGTTTATAGGAATATGATGTGAAAACATTTCAGAAATAACATTTTCATTGGTGTTTTATTGTGTCAGTTAACTAATTACTATAAGCTGAAAGTGGATAAAATGCTATCACATCAATAAAACTTGAAGACACCGTACATGTATCTGGTAAAAAAATCTTATCATTGAGGATGTTAGGTATGTATGTTCTGAAGAATGTTGTATGTAATATGTTGTGCTGCCTAATATTCACACTCTGAATGTTGTATGTCGTACTTGTATGTCCACCTGCGCAACATTCGAATTTTGAATATTACTCATATACCCAATGTATGTCGTACTTTCCAATATTACAATTCTGAATATTGAATGTTGTCTGTTCGTAGTGTGAACAATTTAAACTCGTGGTGCGCAACATTCGAATTCATAATGTTTGATATTGCATGTGGTAGGGGTATACGGTAAAGAGTAAAGGGTACAAGGTACAGGGTAGCGGATAGAGGGCAGGAGGTATAGGATACAGGGTAGGGTGTAGAGTGAAGGGCTAGTGGGTAAGGAGTAGGGTTAAAGGTAGGGATAGAGATTGGTGTGGGGGGAGGGGGAGGGGAGGTTATAGGTTAGAGAGTAATCCCACAAACATGATTCACTTGGACCAAGTTTTTAAGGATCAGAAGTATAAATATATCCTCTCCTGTATGTATATATAGATGTTGTCCTACTTTAGTCTGAAGAATTATTGGATAAATAGGAATTGATTTTGTATAAACAATGGGTCTCGGCCCCCTGTGACCGGTGTCTGATAGGGGTAAACGAACAAATTTTTTAAAAGTCTATTCCTCCTGAAGGAATGTTTAGATTTTACCCGAATTTGGTGTGAAGCATTCTTGGTCTTTGTCTTCTGATCGCCGTGGGGGTGGGGCCTAATAGGGGAAATAGATATAATTATTTTATTCATTCAATTCAGAGGAAGCAATTTCACCGAACTAAACCAGGTGTTGTACATACGGTTGGTTTAGCCGTCCTGGGGTTGGAGAGACGAAGCCCATTACAGGAAATAAAGCAAAATATATAGGACCTTGTTTTATTCCGTGTCTAAATTTTGTTTGACACGTCCTTGGATAAGGGAAAATATTTCTTTAATCTAACCTCATTTTGAGCAGAAGGGCGTAGCCCGATAGGACTAATAAATATAAATCTTAAAAGTATTATTTTGCCAGTTTAGATAAAGCAATTTCAGTGAACTAAGCCATGTGAACGATAAAGGCCAAATGGTTTTTGTTTTTTTGTTTTGTTTGAACACCAACAAAACGAAGTCTCCACTTCCTGTGTGATTTACAGTCGGATACATCATGTCACGTGATATTTCTTTCAAAGAAGGTGGAGGGGTGGGGGTTGGTGGTGGGGGTGGGGGTGGGTAATGTGTGTGTGAGTTGGAGGACTGTTGCAACTTGAAGTAATAACAACGTATAATGCGAATGCTACGCTTAATGTAATAAACTTGGCTTTATCACCATCAGCAACTGTTATGTCAAATGTAATATATACAATGTTAATTATTACTAACAACGCGCCTATGGTCACGATTAAATTTTCATTCCTAGTCTATGTTAAAGATATATCTGATGTACTGCTTTCCAAATCGAAGCTTTTCACTGACGATACTTCTCTTCTTCGCATGTCATCTTCCTGTCATAAATTAGAGAATATCCTCAACACAGATCATAATGCATTAAGTAATTAGCAAACACTTGGTTGATTTTAATGCTAGCTAAACCAATGTTTTATTTATTACTAACGCTGTAAATCTAGATGAAAATTTTGAATTTCAAGAAAGAAATTGTTAACTTTCGTGACATTCTTTAGACATATGGGAGTAGTCTTAACGCAGGAGGTAAATGGGGGAGATCACACAGCATCTATCCATACATCTGTCATGAAGGAAATAAATGTTCTTAAGAGTCTTAAGTACATGTTGAAAGAGAAACCCTGTTGAAAATATCTTGCCGATTTTTGATAGCTGCAGTAGTTGTAGGACTGATGTACAGTGACTGAAAGTGAAATTTTAGAAAAATGCCAGCTCGCATCATCACCGGTCTCCTAACCAATGCTCTCCCTACGACTCTTTATTTCGAAACAGGATTAGAAAGACTTTCTGAAAGAAAAATAAGGAAACTTCAATTAATGTATAAAGTGAAAAGCGGTCTTAATATATTTGCTCAAAAAATTCAAACACATTCTTGTTATAAGTAGTTTCGTCCCTCAGGTAACTAATATATTGTATGTAACTGCTGCCTTAACATGTGTATCATATGTCATAGGGAAATCCCTTAGTGACGTCATAATTTAACACTGCATTACGCCGGTCCGCGCGATACATTCGACTGCCGTGTACTGTATACATGCCGATGTGTCCAGAATGGAGTATCACGTTATTTTATGAGTCCTACGACGAGCACACTAGATGGAAAGTAAATACTCACTCCAGTCTATACACCTTGCCAGCTGTCAACCGGTGAATAAACAAGACACACCCATTTATTTCTATCATCTACACTGGATGACCTAGATTCTGACGTAGATTCACGCCTGTATGGTATGGATACACACACACACACGACACATACGGAGGGTCGGAGTGTACTGTAGGAGCTAGTCAGCTGATAGTCTCATACATGTGCCGAATAGTAGTTCATATATTACAATGTGAATCTAGATTACTCTGAACAAGGTAACATGGCGATTTTCTATCGAATCGGAAATATCTAGGGTCCAATGCTGGTTTGGTTTAAATACAGAAATGTGCTCGGTAACCCGCTCGGCAGGATGTGACACTAACATCTTCCAACCAATGCTGTTTGGGAAATATAATGTGTTCAAATGTGGGGCCATGCCATTGGTATAGTGTTGGAATTCTGTTGGTCACTTTCACATTAACGTTTTACCCTGTGTCGTCGAACGTAGCCCTATCCGACTTTTATCCATTTGGAGAAATAAATGGTGACACCGCCAATAAACAGGATGACGACGGTGGATCTGATAAAATACCTCTCTCGGTGAATTACACATTTTATGGATTGGATTATACATCACTTTACGTAAGTAAAACATAAATAGGGCCGTACAGATGTATTTATCACTGCACCACCTCAAACCTACTCCAATTTTCAGGAAAGCCGTATTTCAGTGTACAATATACGTTTTGATTCCATTGGGTTCCAGTTTGGAGACAATCAATGGATCTGTTCCCTGAGTAATAACAGTAGGTATTAGCTAGTTCTTCCCATGACTCGACATTAATCTATTTTCCGAAAAGGAAGACCAGCATGACTATGGTGTCCCTTGATTGGGCCTCTCTTAGGAAGGCTTGTGGGACACACATGTACAGATGACTACTGTGAAGTGATTTTATTATTCTAGGGTTCAAATTAGAGGTATATACAATTACTCAGTACCCAATACTACACTGTAGCCAAAGGTCATGGTACCATTACATACACATCAGATCTAACGCATTAGAAATACTATCTGCACGATACGTGATCATTACTCGGAAATACTTTTTTCTCATTTAAAAGGTTTCTAAACGAACACAAATACTGACGACGAAAGGCACAGACCTGCCGAATAGATATCAGCACTTTAAAAAAAATCAACATTTAAAATTAAGATGTCAGTTTTACAGTTAGATTTTAACGGGTTATAATTTAATTTCAAAACGTCGTCAGGATGAAGTATGAAGGTTTTATTGGTTAAGAAAACACGCGAATGTCCATTAGAGGGGATACATCCGTGATCAGAGATATAATCAAAGAAACAAAGACGTCTGATTTGAGTCACTTCCTGTCTACCATTGTATATTGATATTATTATATTGAATGTTACGGTGGAATGAGATGTGAAGTGCATTCGTCATATCCCACATGAGTAAGCTGTTTCAATTAAACTACTAAGTACATCAAACATGGACTAAATATCCCACACGAGTAAGCTGTTTCTATTAAACCACTAAGTACATCAAACATGGACTAAATATCCCACATGAGTAAGCTATTTCATTAAACCACTAAGTACATCAAACATGGACTAAATATCCCACACGAGTAAGCTGTTTCTATTAAACCACTAAGTACATCAAAAATGGACTAAATATCACACACGAGTAAGCTGTTTCTATTAAACCACTAAGTACATCAAACATGGACTAAATATCCCACACGAGTAAGCTGTTTCAATTAAACCACTAAGTACATCAAACATGGACTAAATATCCCACACGAAACATGGACTAAATATCCCACACGAGTAAGCTATTTCAATTAAACCACTAAGTACATCAAACATGGACTAAATATCCCACATGAGTAAGCTACTTCAATTAAACCACTAAGTACATCAAACATGGACTAAATATCCCACACGAGTAAGCTATTTCAATTAAACCACTAAGTACATCAAACATGGACTAAATATCCCACATGAGTAAGCTATTTCAATTAAACCACTAAGTACATCAAACATGGACTAAATATCCCACATGAGTAAGCTATTTCAATTAAACCACTAAGTACATCAAACATGGACTAAATATCCCACATGAGTAAGCTATTTCAATTAAACCACTAAGTACATCAAACATGGACTAAATATCCCACATGAGTAAGCTATTTCATTAAACCACTAAGTACATCAAACATGGACTAAATATCCCACACGAGTAAGCTGTTTCTATTAAACCACTAAGTACATCAAAAATGGACTAAATATCACACACGAGTAAGCTGTTTCTATTAAACCACTAAGTACATCAAACATGGACTAAATATCCCACACGAGTAAGCTGTTTCAATTAAACCACTAAGTACATCAAACATGGACTAAATATCCCACACGAAACATGGACTAAATATCCCACACGAGTAAGCTATTTCAATTAAACCACTAAGTACATCAAACATGGACTAAATATCCCACACGAGTAAGCTGTTTCAATTAAACCACTAAGTACATTAAACATGGACTAAATATCCCACACGAGTAAGCTATTTCAATTAAACCACTAAGTACATCAAACATGGACTAAATATCCCACACGAGTAAGCTGTTTCAATTAAACCACTAAGTACATTAAACATGGACTAAATATCCCACACGAGTAAGCTATTTCAATTAAACCACTAAGTACATCAAACATGGACTATCTTTAAAAGAAAACATTGTGGTCACTTTTGGTTTGTCCAATTGTTCCTTGTCAACTTAACCTATGTGTCGTCCCTTTTGTAAATGATTATGAACATAAAAACATAATTAACATTATGTGTATATGAAACACTAAGCCCCTGGTTGCAACAAAAGTCTAAAGCGGGACATTAAAACTCTACTATATAAGCCATGTTAAACATTTATGTCTTCATTGTAGTATTTTTCTTTCAAATTTAGGTCAAAGATCACGGTCAAGGTCACACGGTCAAAAGTTTTGATACCGCCAGAAAGGTCTCGTCACAAGGAACACGCATACCAAATATGAAAACCATACCTCGTACGATGCAATAGTTATGGCCAATATTATTTTATTTTCAAATGTAGGTCAAAGGTCACGGTCAAGTTCACGTGGTGAAAAATTTTGGTACCACCAGAAAGGTGTTGTCACAAGAAATACACATGCTAAATATGAAAGACCTTATCTCTTACGGTGCAATAGTTATTGGCAATATTAACGTTGACAACAGAAAAACAGCACAAAAACAATATGCCCTCGATCTTTCAATTCAGGAGTATAAAAACGTGTGTTCAGTTTTCCCTTTTCGGGAAATACAACCCTTGTCACTGAAATACATATATATGGACGGTGCGTTGGAAATTCGTGCCAACTCTCTGAGATACAATGTACATTTGCCCAATGGCGTCCGTTCTTGATTCGAAGCCAGATACTTTCAATTTATACATATTTTCACTACCATGACCTTCACAGAAAAATACATTGTCAACAGACATCTTTCGCTGTAATATCACTTCGTCGTCTACACAGAAATACATGTATTTTTTAGAACGTCTTTCTCAATGAATGGATAATGAGCGATACCTATTTTCCCTTCACCATTTAGTTTCGTAGTAGATGCTTCAAATACTGAAATTACAGAATATTTCAAAATATGTGGAAGAGCGAGTGTTCAGACTCATTATGAACAGTCCGCAGTTAAAATGAACCATTTACGTCTGTCTACTTAAAATGTTATCAATAACTAGTCACTGAAGAGGGATTTCCTCATTAATATAACATATTATATCAAACACTACATCATTTCCTACATATATAACATATTACATCAAACACCACATCATTCCCTACATATATAACATATTATATCATTAACCTCCACCACCTGTACTACAGATTATATCATTAACCTCTACCACCTGTACTACAGATTATATCATTAACCTCTACCACCTGTACTACAGATTATATTAACCCCCACCACCTGTACTACAGATTATATCATCAACCTCCACCACCTGTACTACATATTATATCATTAACCTCTACCACCTGTACTACATATTACATCATTAACCTCCACCACCTGTACTACAGATTATATCATTAACCTCCACCACCTGTACTACAGATTATATCATTAACCTCCACCACCTGTACTACAGATTATATCATCAACCTTCACCACCTGTACTACAGATTATATCATTAACTTTCACCACCTGTACTACAGATTATATCATTAACCCCCACCACCTGTACTACAGATTATATCATTAACCTCCACCACCTGTACTACAGATTATATCATTAACCCCCACCACCTGTACTACAGATTATATCATTAACCTCCATCACCTGTACTACAGATTATATCATTAACCTCCACCACCTGTACTACAGATTATATCATTAACCTCCACCACCTGTACTACAGATTATATCAACCCCCACCACCTATACTACAGATTATATCATTAACCTCCACCACCTGTACTACAGATTATATCATTAACCTCCATTACCTGTACTACAGATTATATCATTAACCTCCACCACCTGTACTACAGATTATATTAACCTCCACCACCTGTACTATAGATTATATTAACCTCCAACACCTGTACTACAGATTATATCATTAACCCCCACCACCTGTACTACAGATTATATCATTAACCTCCACCACCTGTACTACAGATTATATCATTAACCTCCACCACCTGTACTACAGATTATATCATTAACCTCCACCACCTGTACTACAGATTATATCATTAACCTCCACCACCTGTACTACAGATTATATTAGCCTCCACCACCTGTACTATAGATTATATTAACCTCCACCACCTGTACTACAGATTATATCATTAACCTCCACCACTTGTACTACAGATAATATTAACCTTCATCACCTGTACTACAGATTATACTAACCTCCACCACCTGTACTACCAGATTATATCATGAACCTCCACCACCTGTACTACAGATTATATTAACCTCCATCACCTGTACTACAGATTATATCATTAACCTCTATCACCTGTACTACAGATTATATCATTAACCTCCACCACCTGTACTAGAGATTATATCATTAACCTCCACCACCTGTACTACAGATTATATCATTAACCTCCACCACCTGTACTACATATTATATCATTAACCTCCACCACCTGTACTAGAGATTATATCATTAACCTCCTCCACCTGTACTACAGATTATATCATTAACCTCCACCACCTGTACTACAAATTATATCATTAACCTCCACCACCTGTACTACAGATTATATCATCAACCTCCACCACCTGTACTACAGATTATACTAACCTCCACCACCTGTACTACATATTATATCATTAACCTCCACTACTTTTACTACAGATTATATCATTAACCTCCACCACCTGTACTACAGATTATATCAACCTCCACCACCTGTACTACAGATTATATCATTAACCTCCATTACCTGTACTACAGATTATATCATTAACCTCCACCACCTGTACTACAGATTATATTAACCTCCACCACCTGTACTACAGATTATATCATTAACCTCCACCACCTGTACTACAGATTAT